TCTCATTAGAAGATAATAGAATGAGTTGTCATAGAAATAGAGACACAAGCAAAATCCATGCATCGAGTAAAGAAGATCCAGCATTCAACATCCTAAACTGGAAACAATGTATTAAAAATACATCAGCGCCAGCCTATTAGATGAAGAAGGAGTGCGAGGCTGGTATACAGATAGAATCTGTTTACCCTTTTTAGTCTTTGCCTTGGAGGCCTTCTACAAGACAGCAGCAGGATGAGTATTTTTATCGAGACTCCATCTCTAGTCTTTACTCAACCAAGAGCCCCAAGGCAGGGGTGTTTTATGTTGGGGTTGTATTGTATTTATGTATGTATGTATGTATGTATACTACATAAATACATACATGTATACATCAGGCCCGTAGTAACAAAGGGGAATTTTTTTTCAAAATAAATAATTTTAAAGAACTTGGCTGAAAAAATGAATAATAAAAAAAAGATCCTTACAAATATTTCGGGGTAGTATTGCCCCCCCCCATTATTTTTTTTGCTCCTGCGGGCCTGTGTATGTTTGTTTGTATGTATGTATACATAACCTAGTTTGTATGTATGTATACATAGCATAGTTTGTATGTATGTATACATAGCCTTATTTCAAAAAATCAACATGGTTTTGTCAATAAAAAAGCTTGTGTGACTAATTTGTTGGAGTCGATTGACATGATGTCAAAAGCATTATCTGACAAGATATCTATGGACGTAGCTTTTATAGATTTCAGTAAAGCATTCGATATGGTTCCCCACAAGAGACTAATTTACAAACTTGAGGCATATGGTTTTACTGGAAATCTCCTGAATTGGATAAAATCGTTTTTACACCAGCGTTTTCAACAAATCGTGATGGGCGATTATGTTTCCTCGTGGCTTGAGGTATTTAGTGGCGTCCCTCAAGGATCCGTATTAGGTCCAATACTTTTTATCATTTTTGTGAACGATATATCCGATATTGTTAACCATCCATGTAAAATGTATGCTGATGACACTAAACTGCTGGCCCGTTTAGACCACCCATTAGCTTCACAAATGCTTCAAACTGATATCTACAACATAGCCGATTGGTGTAATACCTGGAAAATGAAACTTAATCTCGATAAATGTAAAATCATGCACATAGGTAAAAAAAAAACAACTTTTATGTCTACTTAATGCCAGCTAATAACAATAACAGTGTCGAACTTGCATCAACTTTAGTCGAACGTGATTTAGGCATCATGATTACACCAGACTTAAAATGGCATAACAATTCAACTTTTGCCACCAATAAAGCTAACCGTGTATTAGGCATGTTGTATCGTACTTTCAGTCACATGACTCCGCAACTACTAAAAATTCTATATACAACTTTTGTACGACCTCATCTGGAATTTGCGGTAGCAGCCAGCAATCCATCATCAAGAATAGATATTGACAAAATCGAGAAAGTACAAAGAAGAGCTACCCGTATAGTACCTTCGTACCGTCATATGTCATACAAAGATCGTCTGAATATACTGAACTTAACGTCCTTAGAAACCCGCCGCATTATGGGAGATCTGATACAAGCTTATAAAATTATTAACAGTATAGACATTGTCTCATGAAGTGAACCCCATGTCCTTCGTGTTGGGCAGTCAAATAAAATAAAAACTAGAGGACATCATCTAAAAATGACTAGAGAATATGTTAAAAATTGTGAGCAAAGGCACCAGTTTTTTACTAATCGAATAGTGAATCATTGGAATGCATTGCCGTCAGAAGTTGTATGCGTTTCATCAGTTAACAGTTTCAAGGCTAAGCTTGATGCAGAAATTTCAAATAATTTGCATAAGTATCGAGATTATAACTGAAAAAAAAAAAAAAAAAAAACAATAAAGGAAAAACAATAAAGTACAAACTTATACTTTATACTATATATCTTATTGTAAATTTTTATATATATTGATATGAATAAAATTAATGTATGAAGTAGATAAGGCTGCCAAAACCTGTAGGTTATACAGGGAAACCTGTTGCAGCAATTTCTCTACTGCTACTACTATGTATGTGTGTATGTATGTATGTATGTATGTATGTATGTATGTATGTATGTATGTATGTATGTATGTATGTATGTATGTATGTATGTATGTATGTATGTATGTATGTATGTATGTATGTATGTATGTATGTATGTATGTATGTATGTATGTATGTATGTATGTATGCATGTATGTATGTATGCATGTATGTATGTATTATGTATATACGCATTTATGCTTGCATCTATCTTTAGGAGAGTCCTCGATGAATTAAAGTAAATTAAAATAAAATAAGTTAAAACAAAGCTGTATCTGGAATTGTAGAAACAGTTACATGATTTTTCCTATGTTGCACCTCGGTTATATAATATACTGTGATTGTGCGAACTAATGATGAACTTGATATTTTTGGCATACACTAGTAGCTTATTTTAATTGTATTTTGATTAAATACCTTGAGAAGTTTATGACCGACCGTATAGTGCAGACTTACAACGGCTGAGAAACAACTGTCTATATTTGTTGCAACATTAGTACTGAAAGGTGGATTGTACCAGATTATGTTTTGTTTGTGATTTTTCAATGGCTACGGTTTTTTGTTTGAATTGTTAGAAAGTTTCCAAATAAAACCTGATTTAATAAATTCATCTTCATCAGGAGGAATAAGTTGTTTTAAAATATCTTCATTAAAAATATTGGTTGACTATCTTATTTTTAGTATGTATATAACTGATTGAGTTATCAGGCTTGTAAGGTAGGAAGTAAGGTTGGAAAGAACTGTCATTAAGGTGCTGAGTTGTGTTCCACAAGATACTGTACTTGGGCCATTATTTTTCTTGTCATAGTATAAGTCTGCTTATTATTAACTATGGTTAATAACAAGGCAGATATTTGCTATCATCTGCATAATGTTTGCATTCATTACTAATTTTATATGGTAATTTATTGATGTATTATACCAATAACTTACCTTTTAAAACTAATGATATGTTATTAACTATTGATATTTTATATCAATAATTTACCTTTTCAAATTAATAATAAATGCACAACGTATGTAGATGAAAATAAAATTATTGCTGTAGTTAACAACAAGGTAGATTCATATGTCTTCCAAAATGATACTGACAATCTAATTGAATGGTCTAACAAATAAATGATAAATACCATTAAAAAATGCATAATCATGCACTTTAGAAAACATAATGAGAATTTTTAAGATAATATGAAAGATTCAAAACTATCCTCAACTACTATCTAAACAGTACATACAATAATAAAAAGTATTTTTTTTTTTTATAAACACTAAAATGAACGAAGATATACAACAAATATATCACCAAACAAAAACTTATAATACAAAAAATTGATTACAAAATAAAAAGTATGATTACAACAATCAAAGGCCTAAGAATGGATAAAAAAACATTATTGCTAATGTGTAAACATAGTTTGTGTAGTGATTTAGTAATAAACATCTCCTAAGAGTCGCGTCTATTATTACCCGCGACTTACGCCTATTCCATACTGATGTAAAAAAGGACTCACAACAAATAGCCAAAATCCAACTATCCTCAAATTTGTAAAGCACCAATATAATTTTTGATGATATGATATTAAATGTGTAGATTTACTATACAACATAAATAAAAAAAAACTAAATAAATAATTTATCATACCATAGAGAAAGCATAAAATCACAATAAATTAAAATTTTATTAGAAACGCAAAAATACTAATAAAATTATTTTAAATTAAATAGGCATTTTTAGCATAAATAAACCCAAGACAATCAGAAAGCAGTATACCTTAATCAAATTTTTTTAAAAATCAACAAAACCGGTGTGGAATCCCTCACATAAAATAGATATACAAAAATTAGAAATGTTTAAAAACGAGCAACTAAATTAATTCAGGAGTTAGATATTTACCGTTTCAACTAACTAACTTAAAACCAGGAGAATAATAGGTGATTTAATTTAATATTTTAAAATTAGCACAAGTTAGACAAATTAATCTTGTGATCAACAACAAGTCAGCATATTTGATTTCAACATATGATCCAGCTGCAAACATTAAGTGCCGTATAGTAAGTTTTAATATTGAACTTGCGAAAAAGAAGAAACCAAAGGAAATTTTTTTTGACAAAAAGAATTGCAAAACAGTAGAACAAAATACCAGAAGAAATCATTTTTGCAAAAACTGTTAAAATCTTCAAGAACAAGCTTGATAAACACATGGATATCAGGCTATAACATTATGAAAGAAACTTTAATTAACATGGATTCCTAATTAATTCAAGAAAGGTTTCATTGATGTTTGAAACGAGCATAAAACAAACTTTTTGTTAATAAAAATAAAATAAAAATTGTTGTATATTATTGATGTTACATCAATAATATACAACAATAAAAAGTTATTATTATTTCAAATTTAACTCTATTCTGCAATATTTGTTTTTTAATAAAAACCTATTCATATATGGGGTAATACCAATAAATCTAAACTGCTACCTCTTTATCGTCAGCATAAGCATGTTGTTCGTCTTATCAATTATAAATATTGATTTGCTCAAGCCAAACCATTATTATTTCAAATGAAACTTCTTAATATTTATCAGCAAGATATTTTTATTATACTTTGTTTTATGTACAAATGTAAAACCAACGCATCTCCTGTTTCTTTTCATAATCAATATACCTTAAAAGATAAAAATAAAACCTTAAGAAATGATAATGTAATTCAGCAAACTTTTTCTTTAACTAATTTAAAAATAAAGAAATGCATATAATTTATACAAATATTAAAACTTTTTGTATTTTTCAAAGATATTTATAAAATTTTAATCACATTTGGATACGGTTATTGACTTTTCTTTCAACCAAAGATATGAAACCTAAATTTTTACGAATAGCCTGGTTAGTGTAGGAATTAATTGTAAAGAGAAAAAAAAAATTTTCGGCCGAAAATCAAATGTACTAATTTTCAAATAGATCTCACACGCAAGGTCCGTATTATCACCATGTAAACACAGTAACTATTTGTAAAATGGCCGTCCTATTTATTATGAAAGATAATGTGTAATTTTATACTATACAACTTGATATTAATATTCTTTAAAATTAAAAATGGAGGTAATGAAATTAAAAATAAAGTTAACAGCTATATATACATATATAATAATTATAATAAAATAATAATGATAACACTATTATTAAACCTAATAAAAGCAGAATATTTAATAAAAGAAACTGATGTATTAATGTAAATAGCAATCAGTTTACAGGTTGTTAAAGCTTTTAAAGATATCGTTCGTTTTTTTTTTCTCTTAGGAAATTAGTGAAAAAGAACAAAAGAAGTCAGATGAGACTGAATTTGCAGCGTTGGAAAAAGATTTTGAAGAA